CTCGCTCGCTCTCTCTCTCTCTCTCTCTCTCTCTCTCTCGCTCGCGCTCGCGCTCGCGCTCGCGCTCGCGCTCGCGCTCGTGCGCTCTCTCTCTCTCTCTCTTTCTCTCGCTCTCTCCCGCTCTCTTTCTCTCTCTCTCTCTCTTTCTCTCTCTCTCTCTCTCTTTCTCTCTCTCTCTCTCTCGCTCTCTCTCTCTCTCTCCTCTCTGCTCTCTTCGCTACTGGCTTCTGACGGAGTCTGGGTTAGGTGAGCCTGAGTGTGGGTGAGTCTGAGTATGGGTACGTCTGCGTGTGCCTGACTCTGAAGAAATGAATCTGAGTGTGAGTGAGCTTGTGTATGAGTGAGTCTGGGTGCGAGTCTGAATCCCAATGGTGCCCCTGGCAGTGTCTGGCGACTAGGAGGCCCGGGTCGACTCCTCTTTGGGAAGCCAAAATGCTGCCCCTGGCAGCGTTTGGTGACTATGAAGCCCCTGGTGGACCCCCCCTGGGGCTCCCAAATGATGCCCCTGGCAGCGTTTTGTGACCATGAGGCTCTCAAGAGATACATGTTGGGGAGGCCAAACGGCAATTTAGCTGAGGCGTCCCACCAAAATCGGCGCGAACGGGCTCGTGAGATCAGCCAGGGTGGCTCCCCCTTGGGGCTCCCAAATGATGCCCCTGGCAGCGTTTTGTAACCATGAGGCTCTCAAGAGAGACATGTTGGGGAGGCCAAACGGCAATTCTAGCTGAGGCGTCCCACCAAAATCGGCGCGAACGGGCTCGTGAGATCAGCCAGGGTGGCTCCCCCTTGGGGCTCCCAAATGATGCCCCTGGCAGCGTTTTGTGACCATGAGGCTCTCAAGAGAGACATGTTGGGGAGGCCAAACGGCAATTTTAGCTGAGACGTCCCACCAAAATCGGCGCGAACGGGCTCGTGAGATCAGCCAGGGTGGCTCCCCCTTGGGGCTCCCAAATGATGCCCCTGGCAGCGTTTTGTGACCATGAGGCTCTCAAGAGAGACATGTTGGGGAGGCCAAACGGCAATTTTAGCTGAGACGTCCCACCAAAATCGGCGCGAACGGGCTCGTGAGATCAGCCAGGGTGGCTCCCCCTTGGGGCTCCCAAATGATGCCCCTGGCAGCGTTTTGTGATCATGAGAGAGTGTGAGTGTGAGTGAATGTGATTGTGAGTGAGTCTGAGTGAGAGTGAGTTTCATTTTATCTTATCGAGTCCTATCTTATCTTACCTTTATTACCCTCTATCTTATCTTATCTTGAAATCTCTTATCTTGTCTTAGCTTATCTTATATCAACTCATCTTATCGCATCATATCTTGTCTTATCTAATTACTCCATAGGCTGTCTTATCTTATATATTAACATACCTTGTCATATATCTTATCTTACCTTATCATATATTGTGCTATCTTATCTTATCTTGTAGTATCTTATCTTGTCTTGTCTTATATTGTGATTATCATTGGGAGGAGGGAGGCGCGAGCGGGAGGGAGGAGGAAGGAGGAGCAGTGGGAGGCGTCAGAGTAATAACAAGAACCCCAATCCTTAGGATATGGGGAAAAACCCAGAAAAGATGGGAAAACATGGGGAATCCTTTTAATTGTGTGTATTTCTTTGTGTGTCCTGGAGCCCCTTCAGCCTGCTATGGCGCTCCGTGCCGCCTCCCGGCCTACAGCTCCCCCCCCATCAATTACGCCGCGGGGCGCGGGCTCGGGCGCGGGAGGGGGCGGCGCCCGCGCGCCGCGCGGGGGGCGCGGCGCCCGCCCGCCTCCCTAAGAGTGTGCACAACACAGCCAAGGCTTTCGGTGACGCTCGAAAGGGTTGCGCGTGGCCAAGACGAGAAGAATTCGGTGACGCTCGAAAGGGTTTCGCGTATAACCAGAAAAATGGCCCCATGCCGGGCCCGGGAGTGGCGAGCTCGCCACTCCCCGGCCCGGCATGAAGCCCAGGTCGGTGTGACCCCCGCCCTCCCCAGATTCAAGTCGGGCCTGTCCCCCTGCAGGGGGACTCTGGGCGAAAAGTTCCAAATACTTATAAAAAATGAATGCTCCCCCCATGCGCAGAAATGGTCTGCAAGCATCGTCCCCGGATGATTTTGGGACTATGTTTGAAGACCCCTCCTGTAGAGGGACAGGCCCGACTTCACCCCAGGCTGTAGAGATCCTACCCCTCCCCTCCTCGTCCTCAGCCTTGGGTTCGCAATTGTGTCAGTTAGACGCTTGGCAGGCTAAGTCGCAGCTGCACGCTTGCGGGACGCAATTGTTCAGTCTCCCCTCGCGCCCTTCGGAGTGATCTCGCCCCAGCCATCCGCCGAGCTGATCTTTCAGTCCGCGGCCCCAGAGGCTCCGACCCCTTCTCCCCATGCAGGGCTGGTGAGTGTCGTCCTTGGTCCGTTCTTGGTGGTCCCCGGGCCCGAGAGCGGGCCGGGCCCCGGAAACCGACATGCAGGACGAGCCGCCAGGAGTGGCAGAAAGCATACCCTCGGACCTCTGGGTCCCACGAGTCACGGGCAGGAAGCAGAAGGCACCCAGAACCGACAAGCGGCGTTTGCGGAACGGCCTTGGGCGTTTCTTGTCAGACAGCCCGGCCCGGTTCGATGCCTTCTCTGGGTGCGTGTCCTAAACACCCTCGCTTGCTGGGGTGGTTACTATGAGGGTGGTGCTTTTGCCCTCTACAGAGATCTCTCCCTCCTCCCGTCCCGTCCCCCTCCAGTCAACTCGCACAGTAAGGATGGGCAGCCTTCCCAAAGGTACCCTTTTGCATCCTCGCCCCCTCGGTCCATGCTCAGCGACTTTCGCTGGCCAACCTCGCTGGAACAACGCTTCCATGGGCCTCCTAAGGCCCCTGCATCCTTCCCGCGCATCCTTGTCTTCCTCTCTGGCCTGGGCCACCATGGTGGGGTCCCCTTCCCACCCGCTGGGGAGCTGGCAATCTTCACGTCGTCGGACCTCCGTAGACGAAAGATCTTTCGTCCCATGCGAAAGCGGTCGCGGTCAATTTCCATGACGCCGCAAGAAGAAAAGACAAGGCGGTGCACAAGAAAAACAAGACACCTTACAAAACACACTACGTATTTCAGAGAAAACAAGGCATCTTACAAACAAGCAAGGTATCTTACAGACAAACAAGACACGCACAACACAACACAAGACGCAACCCAAAACACAAGGCCAGCGAAAAGAAACACGACCCACAGGTGCGGCTTCACGACTCCCGAGACCCTCAGATGTCAGGGGAGCCCCACATGGCCCCCCCGAGAGGCGCGGGGAAGCTCGCGGCGGCGCCGGAGCCCTCGCCGCGGCGCGCCCTGGGCCTCGTGGCCGCGGCGGGGCTGGTGGCGATGGTCTGCCTGGCGCTCGTGGCGGCGGCGCACGGGGGCCGGGGCCGCGGCCACGGGGGCCGGGGCCGCGGCCGCGCGGGGCGGGCGGGGGCCGAGGTGCGCCCCGAGGCGGCGGTGCCGCCGCCGCCGCCGAGCGTCACGGGCGCCTGCGACGCCGCGCAGCTGGAGAGGTCGCGGAGGGTTCTGGCGGAAGCGCCCCCCCCCCCGTCTCGGTCTCGCCCGTGGCCTGTCGCCGCTGTGTTGCTCCCGAAGGCGCCGGGCCGGAGGAGGAGCAGCAGAGGGGCGCGGCAGAGTGCTCGGTGTGCGCCAGGCGTGTGCGGCACTCGCCCACCGTCGATCTCCAGAGGCTGCGCAGAGCTCGATGTCGCAGGAGAGAGAGAGAGAGAGAGAGAGGAAGAGAGAAAGGGAGAGAGAGAGAGAGATAGAGAGAGGGAGAGAACAAAAACATAGAAACAGAGAGAGAGAGAGAAAGAACGAGAGAAAGAAACACCGTCTGACATATATCCATCCCCACTGGGCTGTGGTATCTCAGCCCCCGCCAGACCACCCTCCCAGGTGGGCGTAGGCCCCGCGGAGCCCGAAGGAGGGCTCACCTATCTCCGTCCAGGTAGGGTTAAATCGAGCATGTCCCTCTACAGGAAGCAAACACAGGTATTGAACCATAGTCAGGGGACGAGGTTTAGATTCTTCTTGGACTATGACTGAATCTGTTTTTTATTATGGCTCAGTCTTCGAACAACATACGCCTTTGGGAGGACATGCCCGACCTCAAGGTAGGTAAGTCGGCCCGTCGGGCCAAGGCAGCGCGAGTGGGGCCAGGGGTCGGTCAGACGATGTGCAGCTGCTAGGCCGACCAGCGAGTTGCCCCTTCTTCGGTCCTCGATGGGGAGCGCTGCGCCTGCATAGCCTCTGCAGGTTGGTGCTGGCCGGGTTTTTCCGGGCCGCTGTCCCCTGAAGGGCGTTTGGCTGCACGGGGGGGGGAGGTCTTCCCGCATCTTGTCTTAAGTCGGGCCTGTCCCTCCGCAGGAGGAACATCAGAAAAAAACACTCTCGGGACTATTTCTTGATAGTATGTTTGATTATGCTTGATTGTTTTGACTATTTTTCAGTTTTCGTCCAAAATCCCCCTGTAGGAGGAGATGCCCGACTTAAAAGTCTTGTCCGCCCCTGGAGGTCGCTCTGCCCGCTGCGGTCGCTCTTCGTGGACCTCGAAGTCCTCGGCGCTCGGGGTGGGGGGGGGAGGGAGCACCGTCGGAGTCGCCTGGGCGCGTCTGAGGTGGCCCGGCACCTGGTGCCGGCGAGCAGGCTCCTCCCTCCTCCCTCCTCCCTCCTCCCTCCTCCTCCTCCTCCTCCTCCTCCTCCTCCTCCTCCTCCTCCTCCTGCTCGCACACGTCAGAAGAGAGTTGGCCTTCCCCCTTATGTAATCTGTCGCAAATCCCCCGCAGCGCATCCACCAGGACGACCGACATGGGTACGGAAGGAATGGGTACAATGCCCAACAGCAGTTCCTGCTCGTTTTGAGCAGGGCTCGCTGTCCGCGCCGCCGCGGCCTGTTTCCATTTGAGACAGAAGGCCGCCTGCCAAACAGCGGCCGCTGTTGGTTCGGGACAACATATGCTGTTGGGCATTGTGCCCGTTGCTTCCGTGCCCATTTCGGGCGTCCAAAATCCAGGCCATTTGCGAGTAGTCGATTTGCGAGTCGTGCAACGCGCTTGTCCAGGTGGGGGAGGGGCGGGGCAGGTGCGGAGTCCCGCGTCCTGGGGACCTCGGGGGGAGGTGGGGGAGGTGGGGCTCCCTTCGCTCGGGGGGCCCCGCACGGAGTGAGCCCCGCCTCCCCCCGCAGAAATCGTGGCATGGGGGGGGGGGGGGGGGAGGGGGGTTCGCACGCGGCCTCCTGGCCAGGTGCCCCCCCCCCCCCGCGCCTTGGGGTGAGAGGAGAGCACGGCCAGGGAGGCCCTGTGGCGTGTGCTTTTGGGGCCCCGTGAGGATTAGTCGGGCATGTCCCTCTACAGGAGGCATGTTCCCAAATAGTCAAACAAAATTGTCTGGGGACGATTGTTCTATTATTTTTGGTGATTCTTGCGCATTTGTTGGCTATGTGTGATTTTCTTCCAAGATCCGCCTGGCGGAGGACACGCCCGACCTAACCACAAAGGGAGGCCGCCGCCCAGCCGCGGGATTCTGCGCCAGGAGAGAGGCTCTCCCCCTGGCGAGAGAAGCCGCCTTTCGGGGGAACGGGCTCGAGCTCCCGGGCGTGTTCGACGCTCGGAGGGAGGCTTGTCGAAAGACGGAGATCCGCGTGACCATACAAATGGCCCCTCGGGTAAAGAACAACTCACGACGGGAGGGTTTTCCGTATCTTCGGCCTCGGGAGGCCCTCACAGGCCTCGGGGCCGTCAAAAAACGATTCAGGATGAGAAACCAGTCCTGGGGAATGGGTCGATTACCTCTGAGGGTCGATGTCATGCAAAAATCATGACGTCGGGGGTCTGGAGACGGAGATCCGCGTGACCATTCAATTGGACTGATGCAGCAATCTGTTTTGTTCGCATTCTGGCCACTGGTGGATGGCAGTGCGCAGAGGACGTGACTGCTGGCTTGCCCCACCGGTCGGCCGGGGGTCTGTGTGAGCACCGGCTGCAGATAGCTCCCCGCTGCCCTGCCTGCCAGGGCAGCCGCTCGGGATCGGAGTGGGAGATCGACTGCATAATTGATTTACCCCGATCGTCGCAAGGAATGTTCTAAGAATATTTGGTGGTCTGCGCGAAATGTTCTTAGAACATTTCTGGCTGAGACTGATTTGTTTGAACGCATCCGGATTCTGCTCTAAGAACATTGTTTTTCGGGCGCAGCCCGTAATTTGATTTTCGCGAGGTAGACAGACTGAACTGAACCACCAGGCCGTTAGATGGCAGTTTTATTTCCGCGGGTGAGCATATTGCGGTGCCAGTTTTAAGCCAGCGGGTGAGGGTATTTCTGTGGCAGTTTTAAGCCAGCGGGTGAGGATATTTCGGTGGCAGTTTTGAGCCAGCGGGTGAGGATATTTCGGTGGCAGTTTTAAGCCAGCGGGTGAGGATATTTCGGTGGCAGTTTTGAGCCAGCAGTTGAGGAAATTTCGGTGTTTCAGCGGGTGAGGATATTTCGGTGGCAGTTGATTCCCGCGGGTGAGGATATTCTGATAGCAGTTTAAGCCAGCCGGTGAGGATATGTCGGCGGCAGTTTTCAGCCAGCGGGTGAGGATATTTCGGTGGCAGTTTCAAGCCAGCGGGTGACGATATTTCGATGGCAGTTTTATTTCCGCGGGTGAGGATATGTCGGTGGCAGTTTTAAGCCATCGGGTGAGGATAGTTCGGTGGCAGTTTCATTTCCGCGGGTGGGGATATTGCGGTGGCAGTTTTAAGCCCGCGGGTGATGATATTTCGGTGGCAGTTTTAAGCCAGCGGGTGAGGATATTTCGGTGGCAGTTTTATTTCCGCGGGTGAGGATATTCCGGTGGCAGTTTTCAGCCAGCGGGTGAGGATGTTTCGGTGGCAGTTTTAAGCCAGCGGGTGAGGATATTTCGGTGGCAGTTTTAAGCCAGCGGGTGAGGATATTTCAGTGGCAGTTTTCAGCCAGCGGGTGAGGATATTTCGAAGGCAGATTTAAGCCAGCGGGTGAGGATATTGCGGTGGCAGTTTCAAGCCAGCGGGTGACCATCACCCGCTCTATAACACCTCGATAACACCCGATAACACCTCGATCACATGTTTTCGATATGTGTTCGAGATGTTATCGGGGTGTTATCGAGTGTGATCGAGCTCGATAACGCTCGAGAGCACCTCGATACCACTCGATGACACCTCGATAGCATGAGGTGCTATCGATGTGTTATCGAGTGTTATCGAGCGGTGGCAGTGTCAAGCCAGCAGGTGAGGATATTTCGGTGGCAGTTTTATTTCAGCGGGTGAAGATATTTCGGTGGTAGTTTCAAGCCAGCGGGTGAGGATATTTCGGTGGCAGTTTTAAGCCCGCGGGTGAGGATATTTCGGTGGCGGCTTTAAGAAAGCGGGTGAGGATATTTCGGTGGCAGTTTCATTTCCGCGGGTGAAGAAATAGCAGTGGCAGTTTTAAGCCAGCAGGTGAGGATATTTCGGTGGCAGTTTTATTTCAGCGGGTGAAGATATTTCGGTGGCAGTTTTTAGCCAGCGGGTGAGGATATTTCGGTGGCAGTTTTAAGCCAGCGGGTGAGGATATTTCGGTGGCAGTTTTATTTCCGCGGGTGAGGATATGTCGGTGGCAGTTTTAAGCCAGCGGGTGAGGATGTTTCTGTGGCTGCATTGATCCAGCGGGCGAGGATATTTCGGTGGCAGTTTTAAGCCTGCGGGTGAGGATATGTCGGTGGTAGTTGTAAGCCAGCGGGTGAGGATATTTCGATGGCAGTTTTAAGCCCGCGGAGGGGGAACAGAAGGTGGAGGGAGGAACAGAGAATATCTGTGCTCGGCGCGAGCATCCAGCCGCCACGCGATACGTCATTCGCTTGGTTGGCCCAGCCGACGGCTACGCATCCAGCGCGGTGCTGCGCCCGTATATATGCTCGCCCCTTGGCGTGGGGCTGGCGGTGGGCCAAGGGGCGAGCTGTCCGGTGATTTGTTGTTAGAAAAGGTCTGGGTTCTAAGAACATTCCGTGGTAGGCCTATAAGAATGCCAGGACAGTCGGTCCCTGCTCAAGACTGTCAAGTGATCGTCGAGTCTGCGAAGAAGAAGAAGAAGAAGAAGAAGAAGAGGGAGGACTCGAAGACCTGTGAATCGTCTGCCCCCTCTGCTCGTAGGCTCAGCTCAAGGATCAGTTCTGGGGTACAGTGGGGACCCATGCCAAGAAGCACCCTGCTTGCCCCTAGGGTGCCCTGGGCTTCTTGGGCTTCGATGGTGTTGCCATGGAGCGCATGCCGTGCCCACGCCCAAAGTCCGCGGACGTCCTTTGGGGGGCCTCGGGGCTGGGCCTCTTGCGGGAGGTTTCTCGTGGACTGGCCTCCGCTGTGGGCCGATCCTGCTCGGCCGAACCGAACGGACGGGTCCCCGGGGCGTCGCGCGTAGCTCCCGCTGTGGTCGACGCTGGGCCCCCCTCCTCGGGCGGTGCCCTCCCGGCGCCGGCCAGGGATACAGGGAGCGGGGTGGGGCCGTCGCCGGCCCCGAGGAGGAGCACCCGCGCGGGCCTCCCGGGAGGCGTTTCTGCGTTGCGCTCTGCCGATCTTTGGGCGCGAGCTGGTGGCGGGGGGGGGGCGATCAGGGGGGAGGGCGCGATCAGGGGGGGAAAGGATGGGGGGGGGGAGGGGGGGCGATCAGTGGGGGAGGGGGGGGGGGCGATCAGTGGGGGAGGGGGGAAGGGAAGGTGGTGCCGTCTTCGGGCCCCAGGGCCCCCTCCCCGGTCCCGGGAGGGCGCCCTCGCTTTGGGGGGGCCCCCGAGGGCCCCCTTCTCCGCAGCCCTCGCTGCCCCCTCACCCAGTCGTCGCCCCTCTCGTTCCCAGACCCCCGACGTCACGATTTATTCATCACGTCGAGTCCTGGAGGTCTCGACCCACTGTCTGTAGGTACGAACGCTGTCTGGATCACTTCAGGCATACAACTTTTCCTTCTGACCGCTTGACATGTTCACCACCTCCAAGAGGTATTCCGTGACATCCACATTTTGCCGTTGCAGAATGTTCGCCGCCGAGAAGATTGTTTGAGTTCTCCTTGAAGGACAACAAATGGAGATCTCGACCCATTCCCCTGGACTGGTTTCTCATCCTGAGTCGTTTTTTGACGGCCCCGAGGCCCCGTGAGGGCCTCCAGACGCCGAGAATAGGAAAGAGCTTCCGTCCTGATTTTGTCATTGCCCGAGGGGGTCTGGGTTTCTCGCCGCCCAGTGGTCTCCTTGGCTCCATCGAATTGAGCATGCCGATGGCCGAGGACCCCTTCCCCCACTCCTCGCTCGCCTCGCCGGCTCCCCCGCGGGGGGGGGCCCTCGTAGGTCGTCACCGCTGGGGTCGCCTCGGGATCCTGGGCGGGACTCGGTGGGGATTGGTGCGACGAAACTCAGACTCAGACATGCTCGCGTCGTAAAAAATGCCAGGACGGGAGGTTTTGGGCTATCTTCGGCCCCGGGGGGCCCCCGCTGGGTCCCGGGACCGTCAAGACACGACTCGGGACGAAGAACCGGTCCCGGGGAAAGGGTCGGGACTCCCAGGGACGCCGCCCTGAAAGAATCAGGACGTCGCATGTCCGGGGTGGGAGGTCGGGTCGGGGTGGCCGCACGGTCTCGGGGACCCAGACATGCGACGCCCCGATGTTTTCAGGGCGGCGTCCCTGGAAGGCCCGACCCTTTCCCCAGGACCGGCGTTTCGTTCCGAGTCGTTTCTTGACGGTCCCGAGGGCCGGCGAGGGCCCCCCGGGGCCGAAAATGTAGTCCCCCCGTCCTGATGTTTCTACGACGCGAGCATGTCTGGGGGCCCGGGTCGTTCTCTCCGAGGATGTCTCGGGCAGCCGGGAAGGGTCCCCAAGCAAACGGTGCGGAGGCGGGCCTGTCTGGTGAGGTTAACTGGGGGACTCCCAGGGTGCGCCGCACCGGTCTGGCGCCAGGACGTCTTGAGGCCCCGAAGAGATCACCTCCTCCTCCTCCTCCTCCTCCGCCTCCTCCTCCTCCTCCTCCGCCTCCTCCTTCTCCTCCTCCTCCGCCTCCTCCTCCTCCTCCTCCTCCTCCTCCTCCTCCCCGTCGCGCTTTTCCCCCGGGCTTCTAGTTGTTCCCCCAGGCGTGTCCGCCGCCAACATCATGGAGGTGGGCAGCGGCTTCCTGAGCGCCGCCGACGAGCGCCTCGTGAGGGACACGGTGGCCCAGGTGTTCCTCGAGGTTCAGGAGGGGAAAAAACACACAGACACAATTAATCGGCGATTCCCCAGAAAATATGGGAAAATATGGGAAGTGGGGGGGGAAGACAAACAACCCAGAACATATGAGAAAATATGGGGCATCTTTTTATTTGTGTGTATTTAGTTGTGTGTGGGCCCCTTCAGAGGTGTCCAGCATCCTGCAGAGCCGCGCCGCGCCGGTGGCCCTGGCGCTAGATCAGATCGACCTGAGCGCGGAGGAGAAGGATCGGAGGGCGCCAGCTGCCCTTAGTTTAAGTCGGGCCTGTCCCCCTACAGAGGGATTCTCGACGAAAAATAAAAAATACCCCAAACATAGTCAAAACATAATCCAAAAATAGTCTGGGTACGATTTTTGGAAATTTGTTGACCTTCTTAGGGTATGTTTGGGTTTTTTTTAATTCTTCGTTGAAAATCCCCCTGTAAGGGGACACGCCCGACATAACCTTCAGTTGGGTTTGTCCCTCTACAGGGGGAGTATTCAAAAATAGTAAAAACATAGCAGGGGCACGTGTTTTGGAGCATATTTGGATTCTTTTGGGGTACATTTTGGGGGGGGGTATTTTTTTTTGATATTTCGTCCAAATCCGCCTGTAGGTGGACATTCCCGACCTAAAACTGACCAGAACCCCTCGGGCAATGACTAAAGTCACGCCGGGAGGTGTTTCCCTATTTTTGGCCTCTGGAGGCCCTCACCGGGCCTCGGGGCCGTCAAAGACGATTCAGGATGAAAAACCGGTCCTAGGGAATGAATGGGTCGGGACCTTTCAGGGTCGACGTTGCGAAACAATCACGACGTGGAGGCCCATGCCAAGAGACACCCTGCATGCCTCCAGGGTGCCCTGGGTTTCTTGGGCTTCGGTGGCTTTGCGATGGAGGGCGTGACGCTCCCGCACCCAAAAATCTATGAACGTCCTGGGGTCTCAGGGTTGGGTCTCTTGTGGAAGGTTTCCTGTGGACTGGCCTCCACTTCTACGGTAGGTTCGTGCGGCGTTGGCGCGCCAGCGACGCCGACGAATGCTTTCAAGGTTGAGTCCCACGACGCGGCAGCCCCGATGGACACGGTAACGCCGCTTTGACCCGACGGGATTCAACCTCGAACGATCGGCGTCGCGATCGGTTCAAGGCTGATTGATCGATCCGGTGTCAAGAACCTGACTGAAAGCTCGGCTCTTCCAAATGGCAAAAGTGGCGGGGGCGGGAGCGGGGAGGGGGAGGCGAAGAAGAGAGGCGAAAGAAGCGGGAGAAGACGGAGGGCCCGATGCACAAGACAGTCCTGTGAATGACCCCCAACATCCATATGTCTTTGCGGATTGCAAGCGGAGCCAAGTTGAAGTGCGCTTGCCGAGGCTGCACGAACCTGCCGTGTGCCTGCACCGATCCTGGCCCGGCCGGTGCCGCGGCCAGGAGGGGCCCACGTGCCGCCGTCCTCTCCGCGGGGCGCCGGGCGGGCCTGGCCGGGGTGCTCCAGACCACAAGTGATTGTTTGTTACAGTCGGGGCCCTGAAGAAGGAACCCTTTTCGTTGGGGAGGGGCTCCGCGTTCCTTAAGTGTTTCACAGCTTGCCTCAGGTTTTCCTTATGTTTTCAATATGAAATCGAAGTTTAACTTATGGAAAAAAGGGGCCTCGTTCCTTATTTAGGGTTCCTTAGGTCAACGCCCCGACTGTATTCCGTTCGCCAATCGGCGCGGGCCTCGCACCTTGGTGCCTATTTCGAGCAGGTGGAGTCCCCCCCCCATAGGACGCACTGTTCCAAACAGCCGCACCAAGCAGAGGTCCAGAGCAAGACCCCCCGCCCCCCTCCCCCCGCCCGTTTCCGCCCAATGCCGAGAGGCCGGATCAAAAACGCTCACCATTTTTTTGCTGCGGGCGACTACCGACACGACTGCGATGCGGCGCGGCGGCAGGCTTTGGAAAAACGCGGGTTTGAGCTGGAAGGGGCGCGAAGGTAAAGACGTCCCTCCCCAGCGAGGCGACAAGGAATAACCAGCCGGCCCTACGGAGTAGACGAAGATCCATTCCAGCGAGTCGACAAGGAAGAACCAGCTGGCTCTACGAAGTCGTCGGAGTAGTGCAACCCTCCCGTGAGATAGACCAAAGACGAGCCGCCATTCAGGAAGAAGAAATCAAATCCACAGAAGATCCCCTGTTCCGAGATGGCCGAGCATCAGCAGCTTCTCCTTCAGGTTCACATCCATGGCCTCAAAATCATCCTCGCTTCAACGCGTTTGGGAAGCAGATGCGCTTTCCCCAGTCCCGTTCCATGCACGTCAGCCTCCACCGTACGAGCAGCACGCGATGAAAGCTGGTCCTTTTCACCACTTAGTGCGTGATACAGCCACCATCATGCTCGGCACGAGCGTCAAGTTCCATACGAGCTCTCGCCTTATTTTCCTTCTTATTTGTCTTATTCTTATTTTTACTATTGTGATGATGATGATGATGATGATGATGATGATGATGATGATGATGATGATGATGATGCTGATGCTGATGATGGTGATGGTGATGGTGATGGTGATGGTGATGGTGATGGTGATGGTGATGGTGATGGTGGTGATGATGATAAGGATGATGATGATAATGATGATGAGGATGATGATGATGCTGATGATGATGCCGCTGCTGATGATGATGTATGATGTATGATGATGTATGAGGATGTATGATTATTACGATGATTAGTATTGTTCTTCTTGAGCTTCTTCGGGTACTGCGCCTCGGGCTGCCTCGCACCGCGCTCGGGATCGGAGGCGGGATCGCTCCCGACGAAGGACCCCTCGCAGAGCTGCTCGTCCTTTGGAGGTGCCCTCGGGATGCGAAGCGCCGCCGTCGCGTGATTACTGCGGCGGCAACGCGGGCATGCCGGCAGCCATGCTCCTGGCGGAGGAGACTGCGGCGGCAACGGCGGGCTCCCGGCTTGGCTCCAGGGCCACAGGGGCCTCCACGCCCTCGAACTTCATATTCTTGTTTTTCTTCTTCTTCTACTTATTCTTCTTCTTCTTCTACTACTTCTTCTTCTTCTTCGGCTGCTTGGCGTACATCTTCCCCTGCTCGGCCAGGTGCTGCGCCCCGGGCTGCTGGGTCTGATCCCTCCCGGGCGCCTGCCAGCACCCGCGAGACGGGGACGCCCACCGTGCCGGGACCAGCCCAGACGGGGCCGCCGCCACGGCTCCTCCGCGGGCGGCGGCAGAGGAGACGCCGCGCCCAGCCAGCACGGAGCAGGCGCGCGCGCCGTCGATGAGCTGAGCATCGAAATGCGGAGGAGGAAGAGGTACCCATACCGCTACCCCCCGCCCCGTTCTCCTCTTTTTTGAGGCCTCCCGGGAGGCCCTCGTCGCCACCGCTGGACTCGCCTCGAGATCCTGGTCAGAGCGCAACCCAGGAGAGGTCGGGGGGAGCGGCGGTACGCGCCGGTCGTTGAAAGTAGGTATTTTTGGACTCCCAGATCCCAATCTACTTCAAGCGCCTTCCTACTTCAAGAGCCGATCTGATTATGCTGTGCGTTGGTATTCTCTGGGAGGGTCCGAACCCAATCTACTTCATTGATCCGCTTTCCTACTTCATGTGTTTACCTACTTCATCCGACCGGCGTGTATTGGTGTACCTTTTGGTTTTCCTAGAACTCACGCTGAGGAAGATCAATATCCGCACGTCTCTCCAGCAGCTCCGGCGTCGCCAGAGTGGCCGGCAGCGGAGGCCGCACGCGAGAGCCAGCACGCGATGCCAATTCAGCTCTCTGAACGCCCGCGGAGCAGCAGGCGCGCTCGAGCCCCCCCCCCACACGCACACACACACACACACACACACACACACACACACACACACACACACACACACACACACACACACACACACACACACACACACACACACACACACACACACACTTACGCACACACGCACACCACACACACACTCACACACACACACATTCATACACATTTACACACACATTCACACACACGCACGGACGCACGCACGCACGCACGAACGCACGCACGCACGCACGCACGCACGCATGCGCGCGCGCACGCGCGCACGCACGCACGCACGCACGCACGAACGCACGCACGCCCACACGCCCAGACAGAGAGAGACAGACAGACAGACAGACAGACAGACAGACAGACAGACAGACAGACAGACAGACAGAGAGACAGACACACACACACACACACATTGTGGGGTCCAGCGGCCGTGCCTCAGCCTCAGGTCGAGAGTGAGCCAGCCGAAAGGGGCACGGGGGCCCGCTCTCACAATGGCGGGGGGTGGAGGGTCTCTCCGAAGGGCTTAGGCGACCCCTCCTCCTCCTTCTCCTCCTCCTCCTCCTCCTCCTCCTCCTGCTCTTGCTCCTTCTCCTCCTCCTCCTCCTCCTCCTCCTCCTCCTCCTCCTCCCTTCCCTCCTCGGGTCGCCTACGGCCCCGGGGGAATCCGTCCAGCGGGGGGGGAGTCAAAAGAGTGTCTGACAGCGAGTCTGTGGGACCCCCCCCAAGAGCGGTGCAACAACGGTTCCAGCATCGAGAGCCCCCCCCCACAATTTTGTTTGACGAGGCCCCTCACACCACCCAAAAGGAGAACCCCCAGAATCATGAGATGGAGTACAGTCAACCCGCACAGTAAGGATGAGCAGCTTTCCCAGGCTTCCTCGCATTCTGGCCCTGCGGCCCATCCTTGGCCGCTTTCGCTGGCCGCGCCCCCTTCGCAAAGTGTCGACGTAGCCTTTTAAGGCCCTGGCATCCCTTTTCGTGCGTCCTTCGTATGCGGATTGACTGTAGGTGCAGGTGCATAGCTGGCGCCCTCTCACAGGATGCGGCGCTGCTGCACCTGGCTCTGCTCTCGGACCCGGACGTGCGCGGCTTCGGCCTGGAGGTCGCGCGCGCGATCCGCGAGAGCCCCTCGCCGGAGCCGGACTATCTGAGGACCTGCGACCGACTCCTTGAGACCCTGGCGTCTCGACCTGTTCAAGCCGGGCATTTTCGTCAGGTTTCGGGCCCGGGGCCCTCACGGATCGATCCGGCTCGAAACATTGTGCAGGAAGTTGGTGTCTGGGGCTCCGGCCGTGATTGTTATTACGATGTTTCCGTTTTTCCGCGCCGTGGGATCTCAAGGTTGCGGTCCCTCCCCCTGCGGGTCCAACCAACAGTATGGGGTGTCGGACGCCCCCGATACGGGGGCTGGAGCCGCCTGGCGGTCCGAGGTGGCCCAGTACGGTTGCCGGCCAGCAGGAAGGGGGGCAGGTTCGAATTGTTGGGTTCGGCCATAGTTTCCCCTCCCCCCGTCTGGAGACCGTTCTCGGGCCCCAGGACTTGAAATTTTGCACCAGATGGACTCCGGGAGGGGCTCGGGGACCGATTTTGAGCGGATTTGCTTCCGTCTTCCTCCTGACCGATTCTCTGGGGTTCAACTGGTGCAGACCCTCTGGCCGCACTGGCCGCCTCCAAACTGGGGTATTTGACACCCCCAATGGGGATTCACTTGGCTGCATAATCACACCCTTCGAAGTACGATCTCGGCGGTGAGCGAAGGGGATATTAGTCGGGCCGATCGAAAATCTGCTGCATGCAGCTGGTTTCGGCCCCGCCGCCGGGCCCTTTCCTCGATACCGGGAGGCGCTGGGAAAATCAGTTACGTGAGCTGATTCTCTACCCTACCCTTTGCTATCCCCCCCTTTCGTTCCTCCCGAATTCTTCACGATTCGCGTATCCCCACCAGGTACTTTCCACTCGACGGCTCGCCGCTGAGGTGCTGTGTGAGGCTCTGGCCCGCCGCTTTAGGTTAATTCGTCTGTGCGCGCCCCGCTCTGACTGGACTCGCCGCTGGCGCGCTCGCCTGCGGCCGCTGACTAAAAAGTATCCCCACCAGCCCATTCAGAAGCCCTGCCCACGAGAGCTGACGGGAAAACAGACGAAGGGACAGATCTAGGGAAACAAAGCGAGCAACCAGGATGAACCGAGAGATCTCTGGGAGCAAGGGGTGGCCTTGGAAGGTCTCTTCGGGCCATCCCTGGGGGCCGCGTGGGGGCGAGGGGAAGAGGAGGAGGAGGAGGAGGAGGTGGAGGGATCCAAAGAGTGTGATCCCTGGTGGTGCTGCTGCTGCTGGTGCTGCTGATGTGCCTCTGCTGATGCTGAGGCTGGTGCCCTTGAAGGCCTGTTGGGGCCATCTAGGAGAGCATCGATCAAAAGATAGGGGGTCCTCGATTTCGGCCTCGTCCCAGGAGCCATCAAAATCGCCTCTTGGAGCTCTCCTGGGGCTATTTGGGAGGGTATTGGAGCTCTCTTGGGGCTCTTTTAGCCGTCTTGGGGCCCTATTGGGGCTTTCTTGGGGCCCTCTTGGAAGCCCTGGAAGCCCTCTTGGGGCCATCTTGAAGGCTATCGATCAAAGGAGAGATGGGGCAACGTTCGGCCCCGCCCCAAGAGGCCAACATGGGGCCAACACCGTAGTAAAACCAATGATTTTGGCGTTCCGAGGGCTGGTGGTAGAACGTTCAGCGCCCCCCCGCAAGAGGCCCAAATGGAGCCAAAACCTTAGTAAAACCAATGATTTGGGCGCCCAGAGGGCTGGTGGGGCCACGTTCGGTCCCCCCAAAGAGGCCCAAATGAGGCCGACACCTTGGTAAAAACAATGATTTTAGCTTCCTCGCCGGCTCCTCCGAAAGAGGAGGAGGAGGAGGAGGAGGGGGAGGAGGAGAAGGAGGAGGAGGAGGAGCAGCAGGAGCAGGAGGAGGAGGAGGGGGAGGAGGACGAGGAGCAGGAGGAGGAGGAGGAGGGGGAGGAGGAGCAGGAGCAGGAGCAGAGGAGGAGGGAGGAGGAGGAGGAGGAGGAGGAGGAGGAGGAGGAGGAGGAGGGGGGAGAGGGTCTGGGGTGGCGAACCGCCGAACCCTGGGGACCGTGGAGTCCTCGAGCCGCGCGCGGCCGCCTGCCGCGCGAGGCGGCGAGACAACGGCCGACTGGAGGCGGCAAAGCAGCGAGCGGCTGCGGGACTGGAGCCGGAGCCGGAAGAGGCAACAAAAACGGCGACGGAGCCAGGAATAAAACGGCGGCGGAACCGGCAACAGAAACGGCAAAACGGAGCTGGTAACAAAAACGGCCCTGTCGTTTGCAGGGCCCGCTAAGCCCCTGGGCTCGCCGCCGATGATCCCCATCGGGTGCTGCAGGAACCGGACCTGCAGGGGTAGGAGTGCCGCATGTGGCTTGATGGGCTTATTTTCCACCATCACCACCGTAAGTTGGAGGAGGAAGGAGGTGGAGGAAGAGGAGGAGGAGGAGGACGAAGAGGAGGAGGAGGAGGAGGAGGAGGAGGAGGAGGAGGAGGTGGAGGAGGAGGAGGAGGAGGAGGAGGAGGAGCCTCCCCCTCCCAGTTCTACGGCGGTGGCGGTGACAGTCGAGCCTGCCGTGGCTGCCCCCAGGAGCCACATCCAGGAGCGCCTGGTGCCGCGCCTGCGGGAGCTGGGCGCCTTCGAGGCGGCGGTCGTGCCGGACAGGCTCGTGACCCTGTGGGGGCAGGGCCGGGAGCGCGGGGGGCGGAAGGGCCCCGCGCGCGGCAAGCCCCGGGGGGGGGGGGGGGGCAGAGCCAGGCCCCCTCGGGCAGCGGCAAAGGTCATGGCTCGGTCTATCGCAGGCATGGATTGAGGTGGAGTCGGGCCCGTCCCTCTACAGGGGGAATGTTCAAAAATAGTCCAAACTCAATCTGGGGGCTATTTTTTTACTATTTTGGGGCATTTGGAGGGTATGTTCTAGTGTTTTTTTTCCCCCATTTTTCGCCTAAAATCGCCCCTGTAGGGGGACAGGCCCGACCTAAGATTAAGGAGGCGTGGAGTAGCGACGCCCGTTTCCATGGGAAATCGCGGATTTCAGCCGCCGAGCGAGGCGGCACTGGCCGCATCTTGGGGAGGGCGCCTCCCTGGATCCATGCATTTGACGTTTGCGCGCCTAATCCATGGATCGCTAATCCATGGTTGACGGGATTTTTTTCCATAGTTTCAGCCTTTGGAGGCCCTTCCCGGCCCTCGGGACCGTCAAAACACGACTCAGGATGAAAACAACCGGTCCAGGTGAATGGGTCGAGACCCTTGAGGGTCGGCGTTATATGAAAAATCATGGCGTCGGGGGTCTGGGGAGGGGGCGTGCTTTCTCAGAGGGTTCGGCAATGCCTCCAGCCTTCCGAGAAGTTTTCTTCGAAGTTCTCGCTCCGAAGAGGCAGAAGCGGCTTCTCAGAGGGCTCGGGTTCAGTATCGTTTAACCGATCCCCATCCATCCCCATATACACCCCTCGAAACCCGAAGAGAACGACATATACCCCCTATCTAGGGGGGTACATCGGCCGGTGGGGCCCAGGCCACGCCGCAGGGGATGAGGATCGGTTAGGCGATACTCAGGGGTTCTTCCGAGACGCCCCGCCGCCTTCTGAGAAGGCCTGCCTGCCCCTTCTCGCTTCCCTTCCGGGCTCGCCGCCGCAACGAGCGTCAATGACACGCTGCCTTTGGGGGGCCCGTCAGCGTGGTGCTCCCTCGTTTTTGTCCGAAGGCCTGGCGTGCCTTCGACGTTGGCACGCTGATGGGCCCCCCTCGCCGGCGTGTCGTTGCCGCTGTTTTTTGTTTTTCGCTTCCTCAGGAGTGGTCCATGACGCTCGACCCCGTGAACATCCGGTCCATGGAGTCCGTCAGCGGGAAGTTCGTGAACTCGTTCCAGCCCAAGAAGGGGCCAGCCGCGAAGCAGAAGGTGGAGGCTGTCCGGGATGCGGCGCTGGAGATGGCCAAGTCCCTGCTGGATTTTCTGCTCCTGTGCATCAACGACATGGGTCCGGCTTTCAGCACAGACATCGGCGACACCATGGCCGTCGCGGGGGACGCGCCCTTGTCCTGGCCTTGCGAGCTTGACGCCGAGATGGACACCAACTACGACTTCGACAAGGGCCTGATCTGCCCGCTCAAGTTCGGCGCACAGGGCCTGGACGCCATGCGCGTGCTCAGCCAGTCCTAGCCCGCTGTAGATACTGAGTGCACGCCGGTCGTTGGAAGTAAGTATGTAGTGTGGGATTTCCAGATCCCGGATATGTATATATACATATATATATACATATAAGTATACTTTAGCTGCCTTCCCACTTCAAGAGCCGAGTGGTTTTCCTCCTCCCTCCTCGTCAGGGCGCGGGCGGAAGCCCAGTCTACTTCCAACGCCTTCCTGCTTCATGCCTCTGCCCACTTCTTCCGACCGACGGGTCCTGTGAGGGCGTTCGTTAAGGCGTGTGCCCAGGATGCTGCAGACCCGGGAGGATTCCTTACCTGAGGAGCGCGGCGGTGATCTCCGTGGCCGAGCCGCAAGTGGCGTCCTACTGGCTCTCAGACCCTGGACTGCTTATCCAAGGATTCCTTCTCCAATGCCCTCACAGTAATGGAGGGCTTCTCCGAAGGGCTTAGGCGACCCGTGCTCCTCCTCCTCCTCCTCCTCCTCCTCCTCCTCCTCCTCCTCCTCCTCCTCCTCCTCCTTCCTCCTCCTCCTCTCCTCCTCCTCCTCCTCCTCCCTCCTCCTCCTCCTCCACCTCCTCCTCCTTGTGTCGCCTACGGCCCTGGGGGAAACCGTGCACACAGTAATATGTAATTCGTGCTGGTGAGGCGGCCCATCGCCGCCGATTAGTTAGGAAGCCTTTTTTTTCAGGCGGCCGGTCGCTCCCGGCGAGCTGCCGCGCTCACCGCACACGCGGCCTGATGCGTGGCAGCCTCACCCCGGAAGCGGCCTCTGGGCACCGCCTTCGTCCGAGCGCCCCACCCTCCGTAGGGGGGAAGCAGAGGTCACCACCCCGTCCGGAGAAGAAGCGCTCGGGAATCAGCGGCGGGGCACACGCCTGCCGAACCGAGGGGGAGGGATGCCCTGGAAGCGGCGGGCACCGCCATTCTCAGCATGGGGGGAAGCGACCGCCACTGCCCCGCCCAGAGAAGAAGAGATCTGGAGTCGGGGGCCCGGCACACCCCTGCAGAATTGAGGGGGAGGAGGAGGCGGAGGAAATCGCGGCCTTTGGGCGCCAGCGCGTCGCCCTTCCCCCCAAACACACACACATACACACACGAACACACGAACACACAAACACACGAACACACAAACACACAAACACACACATAACACACACACACACACACACTCTCTCTCTCTCACACACACACACACTGCCGAAACCTGCGGTGGTAAATCGCTGCGCAATGCACCTTGGGGGCCATCGAACTTGGTACGGAGAGAATGGGTACGAAGACGAACAGGCATTGCCTGTTCATTTTGAACAGGAGTCGCTGTCGACGTCGCCGCGGTCGTTGCCCATTTGAGGCGGAATGCCGCTTGTCCAACAGCGGCCGCTGTCGGTTTTGAACAGCATTCGTTGTTGTGCATTGTACATTTATTATTGACAATGCCCATCTCGGGCGTTCAAACATCTGGAAGTGATCGTGCAGGGTATTCCAGCAAGGGGGCCTAGCCTTTCGGCGCATCTCTCGCCCTCGGCGGAAGCCAGTGAGAGGCCAGCAGCAGCAGGCGGAAGTGAAGCGCGCGGCGGGAGAAGCGTCAGGCGATTGCTTTCTTACTCGCTGTTTTGCCGATGGGCGCGGGTCCTCGCCCCCCCCCCCCCCACACCCCGCCGATGGAGTAGATCTTGCCTGCTTCTGGCGCCTGCTTCCAGCAGTGGAGCCTCCCCCGTGGGACGCACTTTTGCAGACAGCCGCACTGAGCGGAGGCCCAGAGCTAGTCCCCGCTCCCCCCCCCCCTTCCGCCCTGTGCCGAAACGCCGAATGAGAAATCGCTCACCAGACCAGGGCTCGAGCTAAACGGTGTTTTGGCAATTTCGTGGGCCGTTTTCGTCTTGACTCCGTTCTGCAGCAAGTGTGCGGAACGCAGACAGAACCAGGGAGGGCGAAGACAGAACGAAGACGGAAAACACTGTTTACAACTCGAGCCCTGCACCAGACTGGCCGAAGCGAGCGTGAGACTTTCGGGCTTTCTGCACGCTTGGCATCCGTCGAACTGCGCGCCGAGCCGGGCCCCGGGATGGGGAGACAGCGTTCCGGAGCGCTCTGAGACGGCCGCGGCGCCCGGCACATCCTCCAGATACGCCAGTTCCTAGGAGGAGGAGATGGAGGAGGAGGAGGAGGAGGAGGAGGAGGAGGAGGAGGAGGAGGAGGAGGAGGAGGAGGAGGAGGAGGGAGGAGGAGGAGGAGGGAGGAGGGAGGAGGGGAGGGAGGAGGGAGGAGGGAGCGGGGGAGGGAGGAGGGAAGGAGAGAGGAGGAGGAAGGAGGGAGGAGGGAGGAGGAGGAGGGAGGAGGAGGAGGAAGGAGAGACGGAGGAGGGAGGAGGAGGAGGAGGAGGACGAGGAGCAGGAGGAGGAGGCGTCCCGATTGATCCCCATACGGTGATGAAGACGTGATGATGTTGATGATGTGCCTCGTCGTGAGCGCCAGGCCTGGGCCCGTGGCGCGTCTTTGGTGGCTCCCCGGGACCCTGCCCGCCCCAGATATGATACGCTTCGTGGGTGGCATCGCGGGCTGAGCCGACCTGCGGCATTGCGGGCTGGCCTGAGTGGGCAAATCCTGTCCCCCCCCAGAGCATCAGAAACACAAGAAAAAAGAGAAGAGTAATGATCATAAGCAGGAGATGCAGTAATAATAATGATGCTACTATGTATAATAACAGTCGTTTCACCTGATAAAACCCGATCAGTGGATGATTTGAAAATTAGTCGTATGGATCTTGATATCGGTTGTGAGATCATTATCGGGATCGATAGAGGACGATTGTGAGGTCGATCGCGAGACCGAGAGTGAAATCGATTCAATGAGATCGACAAGGGGGATCGATCTCGAGATCGCTCGTGCGATCTCTAGTGAGATCGCTTGCGAGATCGATTGCGGGTTCGATTGTGAGACCGATGGTGAGATCGATAGAGAGGTGGGAAATGAGATCGATGCTGAGACCGATCAGAAGATCGACCAGGAACCCGGGAACCTGGGAACCTCGTCGCCGTTCACCGAAGTCGGCCCGGGAATTGGGAACCCGGGAACCCGGCACGGGGAACCCGGGAACCCAGCGCGCGACCAAAATCGGCGGGAAATGTCCGCCAAATCCTTCAACCTCCGCTAGGACCCCTTCAGTGCAAGCACTGATTGGGGAATAATACCAGTGCTAATCCATAGTGGTGATAAGAACAATAACAAGGATACTAGCAATCATAATCGGAGGAAAGACGAAACGGCCGTGGCGCCTGGCACAACCTCCCGACCCGCCAGTTCGCAGAGATGTCCCCATGGATCCCCACCGTCGTCCTGCCTCTGCTTCAAGAGCCCTCAAAACCTATCACGTGCAAGTCCAAGCGTCGCGCGAGAGCCCTTCACAACCTGATCGTACAAGAACGGGAAGCGCCGCTTTAGTCTAACAGGCGTATTGGGCGAAGAGGAAAAGGAAGGCGAGGGTAATGAGGAGTCGATGACGAGGACGACGTGGCGAACGTGAGGATAGCGAGGACGAGCATGAGGACACCGAGGAGGAAGAGAAGCGCAAGGACGAGGACGAAGAGAGCGAGGGCGAGTACGAGGAGGAATGTGGAGGCTGTCTCTGTTTTCAAGAGCCCCCCAAATCCATCACGTGCAGGTCCAAGCGCCGCGCGAGAGCCCTTCTGAACCTGATCGGACAAGAACGGGAAGGGCCGCTCTAGTCTAATGGGCGCATTGGGCGAAGAAGAAAAGGAAGGCGAGGACAACGAGGAGTCGATGATGAGGACGACGTGGCGAACGTGAGGATAGCGAGGAGGAGCATGAGGACAACGAGGAGGAAGAGAAGCACAAGGACGAGGACGAAGAGAACGAGGGCGAGTACGAGGAGGAATGCGGAGGGCGATGATGACGACGACGGCGACGACGACAGAGGACAGTACGAGGCAAGTGGAAAAAGACGTTGCTCCTTGCGCCGCGCGGGGTTCTCTTGGGGCCTGTTGAGGGCTTCTTGGGGGCCCCTTGGGTCCTCTTATGGGCTTTTGGGGTCTTCTTGGGCTGTCTGGGCGCGTCGTGGGGTTCTGCGGGAGCTTTCTTAGGCCGTCTCGGCGCTGGGGGCCTCCTGGGGCGCTCCCGTGAGTCTCTTGGGGCCTTCTTGGCCCATCTCGGGCCGTCTTGGGGTTCTTGTGAGCTGTCTGGGTGGCTCCTAGAGCGCTCTTGGGCGTCTCTTGGGGCCTTCTTGGAGCGCTCTTGGGCGCTCCTGGGGCTCTCCGGGGCGTCTGTTAGGCCTCCCTTGGGCCGTTGGAAAGCCCTCCAAGAGCGATTCGAACACGACGTCGATGCGGAGTCCCCTCTTGGGCCGAAGTTTGGAGGATGTCTCGAGCGAAACGGCCATTTTTCAGAAATCTTGGACTGTCCAGGCGTCTCTCGAGGGTCTGTGGGGGTCTCTTGGACTGTCTTGGCGTTATCTTGGACTGTCGTGGGGCTCTGGGGGCCTGATTGGGGCCCGTGGGGAGCATTTTGGGAGCCTCTTGGAGGCTTCTGTGACCCTCTTGGACTGTCCAGGCGTCTCTCGAGGGTCTGTGGGGGCTCTCTTGGGCTGTCTTGGCGTTATCTTGGACCGGCTTGGTGCTCTCTTGGCCAGTCCTGGGGCCTCTTCGCGCGCTCGGGGGGGCCTCTGGGCGCCTCTTGGGGGCCTCTTGGGGGTCTCTTGGGCCGTTTCGTGGGTCCCCTGGGGAGCCTTTTGGGGCTCTTTGGGGCCGTTTTGAAGCTCTCCGGGAGCGACTCCAAGACAATGCCAGGTCGGAGTCCCCTCCAGAGCCGATTTTTCGAGGATGTCTCAAGCGAAACGGCCATTTTTCCGGAACCTATCTTGACATGAACGGGAAGCGCGTGAAATCGAAGAGCCTGGCAAGAACGTGCACCAACATTGATGTCGCATGTCGCCTAGGCGCTCTTCCCGACCGTGCACAAGGGGTACGAGGTGGAGTTCACTACCCGCGCAAGTTCAGACGT